CAGGACCCGGAGGGCGCCTGAGGATTTCCTCGCGTAGAACCAGATTGGAGGGCCAGGGCCCGACTGACAGCGGCCGGTGATGATTTGGAGTTTGACCAGCTGTGAGGTCTTGGGATACTTTGTCGTCAACGGTACTATCGCTGTCGTCGTCATTGTTGGGTTTGGTTTCGGAGTCGGATCCGGCCGAACCCGAGGCCTCACCCTTGGTTTTGCCTCTGGCCTTCTTGCCGGCCTTCTTGGCCCTCTTTGTATACCGCTTCCTGGCCTTGTCGTCGCTGATGTCTCTGCGCGCTCGCGCCTTGCGGGAGGTCAAGTCGTCGGAACTACTTGTTTCGTCGTCCGAAGTCGATGAATCTTCGACGGACGGGTCATCGTCCGAGTCGCTGGACGAAGAAGTGTCTTCAAGAATTGATGGTCGTTTTCCCCTTTTCTTTTTCTTCTTCTTGTGTTTCTTGGAGCATTTCTTCCCATCCTTCTTCTGCTTGCCAATCACGTTTTTCTTGTCCTGGGATGGTATGGCGTCGCTCTTATGATCGGCCTTCAGCTGTGGGTGGGGTGTCGAGCCTGGTGCCACCGTTTCGGTCGTGCTGGAGGGACCAGCCAGCTCGAGGCTGCTTATTGGCATTGCTTCCTGGGTGTCCATGCTGGCGACTGGCATCTACAGAGGACGGTGCCCAAGTCAGACAAAAGTTCTGCGGGAGTGACGCAAGGATACGAGACATGCTCTTACAGAGGAGGGAGGTGGACTAGTTACCTAGCTAGGTAGGTAGGTATGTAGGTTGATGGTTGGGTTAGGGTTGACACACGACGGTGCGCTGGGTCTTGGTGCGAGGAGTAGATGAAAGACAATGGGTTTGAATTGGCAGGCAGAAGGCGAGGCTGCGGCAGTCCTTCGTCCCTTCCTTTATAAATGCGGCAACTGCCACGGCGAAGGTGTGTCACCAGGCAAGAACAACGAGCCAACAGCGAGCTGCGAGCCAACGGCCATGACATGATGTACCTAGGTAGGTAGGTAGGTAAGGTAGGTAATGATTGTAGGGCAGGCAGCAAATAGGCCGCAGCTGCAGCCCGCCCCATTTCTGTGTTGCTGCCGGGTATTGAAGCATTGTCCAGGTTGGAGCAGAGCCGTGGTGGTGTGAAGCGAGATGGTTGACCAACATGCAGCATTTGGCCAGTCTCTGTGAGTCTCACTCTGCGAGGGTTGTCAGCCCCTCCAATCATATTGGTATATGGGGGCGACGATCGAAGCACGTTGACATGGCATGCTGATTGCTGCCTGCCTGTAGCCTGATCTAACCACTCGAACGACCTTTGAAGCCATCCAACGGCTACGAAGCATCGTCCATCATCTAGGGAGGCAGGTAGGCAGACATGCCACCCCACCTTACTCTCCATTTGCGACAGTTTGGTCCGTCTTGCCGAGATCCAGATCTGTTGGCCCATCCTTTGGGTCCGCCTGGGTCGCGACCATCGACCTGAATCGCGAAATGCCAAACGCAGAGAACTACGTCGGAGATGAATGGCGGCAGCACCATCTCTGGCCCAAGGTTGTGTCGAGGAGCAGCCGTCGCGAATCGATAGAGTGCTTGTGCAGACCAGAATGTCTAGCCCGTGATGGCCGAACCCGTGGTTTGCTCAGTTCATCCCACGTTATGCCCAGCACCAAGCTAATGCGGGACGCCTCGCAAACCGAGTGGCTCTCAGTCACCACAACCTGGGCGTGTCCCGTCTCATGGATAATGATGGACAGTCTGATTCTCGATTCGATCCTCCATGGCTCCTCATCGTCCATGTCTTTCGGTTGCGCCTGGGATCCATATCGACTGTTCTCGCTGTATTACTGCATCGCTGCATCGCTGCATCAAGATGCGTGTGCAGCGATGCGGGTGCCGTGTGATAGAGCTGTAGCTGATTGCACTTGGCATCACACGAGTGTTACAATCATCTGGAGGCGCCCCCGGCGAGACGAGCTGAGTGTGGGAGACGGACGCATCGCGCACACGGCCATGTTGACGACTGTTGCCCCAGCACGTCGTTCATACAGGGTCTCTCTCATCTGCAGTAGGTAGGTGCGGTGTCGAAATGAGATCTGTGACACAACAGCCAACTGAGACATGCGGTCGAACGATGTGAAGGAAAGCGTTTAGTGGGTAGGTTGGAATAAACATGGCCTTCAGGGCAACAGCATGCTGCAGCAGCGAACACGAGAGACGACAATGGTGTGTCGATCCTCTGGATTCGTTGAGTTGGGGCTGGGTTAGGGTAGGATGAACGCCCTCGGGTTTAGATTTACTCCCCAATCGTGCACCGACGGTACCATTTGATGCCTCCTTTCGTGCACAGACAGTATCATTCGATCTTCCCTCTCTCCATTCAGGATACATCCTGCCCATCTACAAGCCATCTCTTCTCTCGTGATAATCTCCAAACCTTCAATTGTTGACCTGATCCATCTACAGGCATGGGTGGCGAGCTGGGCTGGTAGCACCTGACCAACGTCGCTGGAAGCGACACCGTGGTCTATTGGTGCGCACATGAGGTGTGAACGGCGGCGGTTGGACTGGACGGTGGCTGTCGGCATCGTGAGATTGGAATGTGGTGGTTGGGGAGGGCAGAGTGGAGAGAGACAGTGGAGGGACTAGACAGGAACGCACAGACACTCCAAGGTGATGCTACTTAGTAGCAGAAGACAGGCCAAGCACCATTGTATGTGAAGACAGTGCGTGCAAGTGCCCTTCCAGCCGACCAACCCCCCCTGGAGCTCTGCTAGGGACCCCTGTGGCTCGACGTCATGAGCGACTGATTCGGGCCAGAGCTCCTACATGTACCTCTCGCCCTCAGCGCCCAGGTCGTTCCGGGCAAGCTTGGACTCAGCTGTAGTCGCGCCAGCTTGTCTCTTCTCGAACGCCGCTAAAGCGAAGCACCAACAAAATCAAGGCAGCTCAGACAACCAAAGCAGGGCAGTGCAGAAAGCTCTTTCGTGCAGATCCGGCCGAGCTGTTGGACAAAACCCCAGGCCAAGCCCTCTCATCAAGACCTCGACCTCGCCCCTCTACTTCTCTTCCTGGACGGCCAAGCTCTGTCGCGTGTGCCAATCGCCGATAAGCTCCTTCTCTCTCCGTTTGGCAAGCACGAGCAATTGCGCCTTCCCTCTCTGCGGCTGCCATTGAGCGCGTCAAGAGCACTCGGCAAGACTATCTGCAGCTCCAGGTCCAGGTTCAGCACTAGCATCAGCAGCCATGCCTCGAAATAGGTCTGGCTGGGTGTCGCGTCTCCTGGGATGGGATCGTCACCCCGCCCACGGAAGCGACGAGCACTCAGACTGGCACGAAGACCGCCGACGCCGTGAGTACCAAAGCCCTACTACTATTCTGGAATCCCTTCACATTTTCCTACCTCTTGATCGCTTGTCTGGACCATGAGTACAACGAATCAGTTCACGTTATGCTACCCCCCTGTTTCCTTTCGCACAAATACGCTTCCTCGCGCTCACAAGAGGGTCTATCACCCAAACACAGTCCTCCCTCGGTATTCTGATGAGCAGGCCGAGGCCGCCATATCGGCCCCCGATGTCACCAAAGTCGCTCTGAAGCTGCGTCACTTGATCGAGGCCGCCATTCCCTGCGAGCTCGACGAGGCCGACATCACCAAGGCCCACAGCGGTATCATCACCACCAAAGTGATCAAGGCCGCCAAAGAGGCCGGTGGTACTGAACACAGGTCATGCGTCGTCTTTGGTCTCCTGGTCTGTAAGCGGTGGTTCAAGCACCAGGCTCTTGTCGAGCTCTGGGACGCCGACATGCATCTCGTTCGCTCCACTGCTTGCGAGGTCATTGCTAAGAGAATGTGAGCTTGCCTCCCCCCCTGCACGTCGATTTTCTCTCGCTCCAGGCATTCGCTGACTCACGACCTTAGCATC